AGAGAAAAACTAAAACGTACCAGTATGTACAGGGACACTTCCTTAATCAAAACTTAACTAAACTACATCGTACATTTCCAGCAGCAATGGACCTTATTTGTACTACACTGAAATGCCTGGAATTTCAAACAACAAAACAAAACCTCCTTTGTAAAACACTTACAAGCACAACTAGTTCTCATAAAGAGCGTTTAGGTCCTAAATCACTTTCCAGAGTGTTTAGGTTCGTTATCTGCAACTAATTCATTCTAGGATTGAACCAAGCACTTAAAATAGAAAAGTAACTCTTTGTTCTTCATAGCTGCAGGATGCTCACGCGCTGAAAAGGAAGAATGGGAAAAGTTTAAAATAGAGTCTTAAAATATTCTCTAACTTTATCGACATACAGAAAACATGTGATTGAAATGTCGGATGGCATGAACACAATCTGTACAATGTGGTCACACAGGGAGATTAATCACATTACTTACATGAAAAAATACATCAATGTTTCATTTTCAAATCGGTTAATACATTTAAGAACAGTTATTCCCAGTACTATTCATCATCATGAAATGTCATGACTGGTCAATGTATAATTGTATGACGTAATTCTGAACAATGGACATCAAGCTGAGAAATTAATCAGATATACCCTCGAAAGACCTTACTTCTCTTGGGAATATGCTCATATTGTTATCGTTTGAAAAGGAAAGAATCAATGTTATCATAATGCCCATCATCATTATAAAAAGTATTAATCATAAGCATAACATTCAACCTGTTGACTTACTTCACGTCTCTGATGGCACAGCACAATACCATGGAGAAGATCATTCCCAAAATCTGAAAATGAAGATGAAGATATTATCAAGTATTCTTTGATAGTAGTGAATGAGATTTATGTCACTTTCAGAATCTCATATGGAAGTGGTTTTGCACATTGTACCCATGCCTTTGGCATGAGTGGGTGAGCTGGGTTTACGCTTGGAACAGTATTGCAGTTATAATATCAGCTTAATGTTGGAGGAAAGCCTGAAGTGACCTCAGACGTTTAGCACTTTGATTAAACCCACGAGCACGGCTATTGTGACAAATATGGAAACATAACCGGGGCGAATCGGGATTCAAACCCACAATCGTAGGTTTCTGGTGTGCCCAAGGGACGCAACTCTGCACTGCAAGTGCCTCATATTACAGATACTAAAAACGCATACCATGTTGATGGTTCAATGGTAGCTAAAGAGTAATGCAACATAGAGAAGTGAGTGAGTGAGTTGGGTTTAACGCTGCTTTTAACAGTATTCCAGTTATATCGCGGCGTGTCAGCTTAATGTGGGAGGAAAGCCCGAAGTGATGCAGGTCTCAGACGTTTACCACTTCGGTGAAATCAACGAGCACGGGTGTGGTTCTGACAAACCTAGAAACATAATTGGGGCGAACCGGAATTCGAACCCACAATCATAGGTTTCTGGCGTGCCCACGGGACGCAACTCTGCACAGCGAATCGCGGCGCCTTAGACGACTGGGCCACCCGTGCCCCCAAAGCAACATAGAGACATCTCCATGGTCTAAATAATACGTTCTTACGTGGAATAGGAAAGCATCATCTGTTTTCACACATTTACAATCCCCAGAATGGGTAGAGGTTGTTTTCCGATATTATAAAGCTATATATTCAATTGCATAACGACCCCGTTGGTGGTTTAGTGGTAGAGCGGAAGGTCGTGGGTTTGATCCCCGGCCGCGTCATACAAAAAACCGTTTCAAGATGGTACTTGTTGTTACCCTGCCTGGCGCTCGGCAAAATAGGGCTAAAACAAGGACTGGTCGGCTCGGAATCAGTATACTATGTCTGTGCCGGTTATTCGTTTTAAACAATGGCATTGTATTTCAGTGGGCTAGCACTATAAAATGGGCATTAGTCCGGACTAGTACAAGTAGCCACACACATACACCTGCATGCACGTCGCTATATAAGTGCAATAATCTGGGACGCGACGATAAACCCCATTTCACCTCACGTCGCTTGCATAAAATACAGAAATAGGCGTCAGGATATCTCTTCACCTGCAGTTATTAAAGACGCCTTGGTTCAAGTTCGAGCCTAAAGGATCAAACGTAACTTCTTAATTCGTCTATGACCGGTCGGCCAGTGAGAAACTGTAGACAACTAAAAAAATACAAAATGGACAACGTTGTTGACTGTGAACCTACCATGATTAGAGCAATTCCGATAGCGACTCCGGCGACTATGATGAGGTGAGATGACAATGTCGCGAAGAGTTTTTCAACGCAGGGCTGAAAGTTAATGATAATATATGTAGTAAAGGTACTAAATTAATGTACAACAAGAACAGTAATCAAAACTCAAGTGATATTTCAGGAAGAGCTTAACGGGACCTATACTATCGGTATGTGGTTGTACATTGGGAAAGACAAATGTATATTCAGTCAGCCGAATCACAGAAAATGCTTTACAAAATAGTTATGCTTCAGACCTTTGGGAAAAGGGAAATTGTCTGAAACAACACAGTTGCAAGATGTATATTTTTAATATTTCGTTTAAAAATATATCATCGTTTTTACTTTTAGCAATATACCAGTGGTACTACTATAGTCCACTAGTCACCATGTGTTATATATTGTCACCAGACGTTGTGACCACCCAAGAGAACTTACCGTCTTGTAATTCTCTGCTTTGCAGGTGGCTGGAATTCCGGATGTGATGGGATAATCATCAGCTCCTCGTTTGGATCCACAGCAGTTGAGCTGATAAAAGTGAGCAATGGAGTGAGCAATGTTTTGTTAGTAGCAATTTTGTTATATGAAATATCGACATGGGACTCTTGATATTAATACATGCAGTCTTACAACGACGTTTAGACCGCCTCTGACCAAGGTCACGGAAACGGCTATGGCCGCTTTTATTTGATGGCGCAAGGGTGCTTGTCTGATTTTAGGCGACGAGATGGTCCTTCCACTGATTGACATTGTGAGGAACAGCTTCCTGAATTTGGAAAGTTTGGATCCCATTCACATTTCACGGTATTACCAAACTAAAATTCGAACGGCACACAAATCAGGTAAAATGTCGGAATGAGATTGTAAATATTGAACTTGTTAGTCCATGTTAGCCTCACTGTCATACGTGAAGGATGGGGCTTGCATTTAATGAGCTCACGGGCGGATATGCTGACATGTTTATCTCCCCTTGTCGGAGCCCAAGTATCGATAAAAGGAAATAAAAGCCACAAGGATTTTGGAAAACAAGATGGCGGCTCCTACGAAAAAAAAATTAATAGCACCTGTTTTTAGTTTTCGTTATGAAATTTTATTGAGATGTGATGAAATGTTTCAATACATGGTGGTAAGTGATTAAGGTTGCTATGAAGATTTCATGATTTGTTGCCAGTAGAAGATGTAGAAGTGTGATGTAAATACTGTAGCATCCATTGGCAGGGTATGTCATACGTGGCGATTCGTAGCCTCCGGTATGGGAATGTACAAAAACTGGGATTAATTGTTGAACGGATGATGGCATGTGGTGACCGGTAGCTGCCATATTTCCAAGCACTGATATTCAGCAAAGCTTTAACTGCTTATAACATAACTTTTGAATGAAGAATACTTACTGTGAATGTCAATGGCATATCCTTCATCAGGTAACTGTCCCCAGAATTCTTACTGTCACCTTTCACATAACTGTCCAAACACGAAAATGTGATCGACGGCACTTTGGCAGGATAAGAAATGAAACGGCCATGTTTCGCGCTTCCGGTCGAGAGGCGGCCTTGGTCGTGATTTTTATTTGGGCAAGCATATTTATGTGGAAAATTAAGAGTCCCTTGTTTAACATGCAAAACTTGTTTGATGATACATGAGTGATTGAAAGTTGTAAACCGCAGTTTTAACACTGTAATCTGCAATTAATAACATCCAATATGAACTTCCTGAAGTCAAAACTGCTTTTTATGCAAAACAGTCCATAACGATTTAATTCCATTGTCAGTCATGATCTGAAACTATTCATGGTCGTGCATACAAAAGTATTCTTGACCTTTTGATATTGGTGAAACACTGCTTTGAACAGTATTCCAGTCATATCACGGCGTGTCAGCTTAATGTGGGAGGAAAACTCGAAGTGATGCAGGCCTCAAACGTTGACCACTTTGGTGAAAACCGCACGGGTATGGTGCTGACAAACCTGGAAACATGATCGGGGTGAACAGGGACTCGAACCCACGATCAGTTTCTGGCTCGTCTAAGGACACAGCGAAATGCGGTACATTAGACTAATGGGACACCCTTGTCCCGAAACAATACAGTCATTCATCAAACAGCTGTTAAAAGTAAGTTGGGCTTAACTTTGAGCTGTTTGTGGGTTGTTTAAGACCAGCTATAACTGTGAGCTGTAGTTAATTGTTAATGCTCATGGTAGGATAAAATATCTAACTACACAAACAAAATGTTAGTGACTAGGCAGTACACACACTCGATGAAGGTTGGGTAACGCGAAAACACACATGAGTTGGTAAATGAGTTTGGTTTAAGGCCGCTTATTTCACGGACTGTCAGTTTAATGTTGAAAGAAAGCCCAAAGTGATGCAGGTTGTAGCCACTTGAAACCCCTTTGTCCCATCATCTTAAAATAAGATCCAATGGTCTTAATCTGAGTGAATCAGGATGAATAGCGGATCCTGGAGCGCAGGTCTGCACAGCTCCTTTGACCGTTCGGCCAACCGTGCAACAAGACGTACAGCCAGTTGTGATGACCAAACCTCTTCAAGATATTAGATTTGTTTGTTTGTCTGTTGTTAAACTGTTATTAGCAATATTCCAGCTATATGGCGGCGGTCTGTAAAATAATCGAGTCTAGATCACACAATCCAGTGCATTTCGGATACCATGACATGCATCAACCAAGTCCAGCGAGCCTGACCACCTGATCCCATTAGTCGCCTCCTAAGACAAGGATGGGTTGCTGTAGACCAACTCTAATCTTGATTTTAACAACCTACATTTTTCTGGATGTTGTCCATCGCTTCCTTGGCTTGCTGTCGTTCACTGTAATCATCCACCGACTTTTGGAGGAAGTCGCCCACTAGATCTTTTATCTGCCAAAACAACAACAAAATAAATAAATATATACATAAAAAACAAGACTAGGCAGCGCTTCCTGGGAGAAGTTCCATTCGCTATCTGGGCTGCGTGTAGAGGGGGCGAGCTGATGATGAGCCTAACCAGTCTGACTGTGCCAGGATCACAAAAACCCTCTTTGCTGCATTTTTTATTGTAATCTGAAAATATAGGAGCCTGGACCAGACAAACCAGTGATGGATAATATCAGGAACGATCGACGCCGTTGGTGTAGGTTGACATGCAATCAACCAAATCATCGAGGCTGACCACCCGGTCCATACAGTCGGCCCTTGCGACCAACCTAGGCTCCTGGGGACCGGTTCTAACCCGGGATTCATACGGTAGGGCCAGCATAGGTTCCTGGGACCAGTTCTAACCCGGGATTCATACGGTAGGGCAAGTATAGGCTCCTGGGGACAAGTTCTAACCCGGGATTCATACGGTAGGGCCAGTATAGGCGCCTTGGGACCAGTTCTAACCCGGGATTCATACGGTAGGGCCAGTATAGGCTCCTGGGGACCAGTTCTAACCCGGGATTCATACGGTAGGGCAAGTATAGGCTCCTGGGGACAAGTTCTAACCCGGGATACATACGGTAGGGACAACATAGGCTCCTGGGGACCAATTCTAACCCGGGATACATACGGTAGGGACAACATAGGCTCCTGGGGACCAGTTCTAACCCGGGATTCATACGGTAGGGACAACATAGGCTCCTGGGGACCAGTTCTAACCCGGGATTCATACGGTAGGGACAACATAGGATCCTGGGGACCAATTCTAACCCGGGATACATACGGTAGGGACAACATAGGCTCCTGGGGACCAGTTCTAACCCGGGATTCATACGGTAGGGCCAACATAGGCTCCTGGGGACCAGTTCTAACCCGGGATACATACGGTAGGGACAACATAGGCTCCTGGGGACCAGTTCTAACCCGGGATTCATTCGGTTGGGCTAGCATAGGATCCTGGGGACCAATTCTAACCCGGGATTCAAACGGTTGGGCCAGCATAGGCTCCTGGGGACCAATTCTAACCCGGAATCCCCACGCAATAAAAACGAACTTCATACTTACACTGTCTTTCTGGACCACGCAGTAGATGCCGGCACCGAGTAGAACGCAGAAGATGATGAACAAACTGATGAAGAACTGAAACAGAAATCAGTATTTTTGACATTGTAATGAGTGAGTGAGTGAATAAGGCTTTCAGGGACGCAACTCTACACAGTAGACAGTAAGTACTGTGTGTATTTTCAATGCAAAATTGTGTTTAGGGGATTTCTGTATCGGTGAGCGAGTGAGTTGGTTTTACGCCGCTTTTAGCAACATTCAGGGACACCAGAAATGGGCTTCACACATTGTACCCATGTCGGGAATCAAACCCGGGTCGTCGGCGTGACGCTTTAACCACTGGGCTACTAAACCGCCACTGTAAAGTAAACAAGTGAGTGTAGAGAGTAAAGTCTTACGCCCCTTGACTAGTTTTCCAGCAATACTTGGGGGGGGGGGGGGGGGGGGGGAGGAGGAGGAGATGAAAGATCGGTTGTTCTTTAACTTCTTTTGAAAAGTATATATCAATCAGTGTCAACATTGTATTGCACAGCATTTATGTTTATTTGTTTGTTTAACGCCGCAATATCCCAGCTGTATAACTTCAGTATGTAAATGGTGGTGTCTGGACCAGACAACCCAGTGACTGACATCATGATCAACCCAATTGGGCAACGATGACATGTGTCAACCAAGTCAGCGAACTTTACCACCCGATCCTGTTACTCGCCTCTCACGACAAGCATAGTCGCCTTTTACGGCAAGCATGGAATGCTGAAGACCTATTCTAACCGGGTTCGGCCCGATTATGTTTCTAGGTTTGTCAGCACCAAACCCGTGCTCGTGGGTTTTACTAAAGAGGTGAACGGCTAAGACATGCATGACTTCGGGCTTTTCTCCTACATAACCTGACACGCCATGATATAACTGGAATACTGTTCAAAGCGGCGTTATTAACCAAACTCACTCATTCACTCACTCACTCAGGGTGGCGGCCTGTAAATAATTGAATATAGACCAAACATCAAGTGCTTGATACTCTGAGCAACGATACACGCCGTCGGAGTACGACAACACACCATCAACCATGTCACCGAGGATGACCACCCGTCCATTTGGTTGCTTCATACGTTTGTTTGATTGTTTGTTCTTTAACGCCGCATATTCCAGCTGTATGACGGCGGTCTGTAAATAATCGAGTCTGGATCAGACAATCCAGTGATTGACATCTTGAGCATCGATCCACACAATTGGGATCGATGACATGCATCAACCAAGTCAGCGAGCCTGACCACCTGATCCCGTTAGTCGCTGCTTACGACAAGTGTAGTCGCCTTTTACGGCAAGCATGGGTTGCTGAAGACCTGTTCTACCCCGGAATCTTCACCGGTCTCGCCTCTTGCGACCAGCAAAGGTACCCCGGGACAACTCTAACCCATCCGCACGGAGCTATTCATTTGAACAGAAAATCCCACTCACCAAACCTAGCAGGCACTGGCTCTCTCTGATGGCTCCACAACATCCAAAGAACCCGATGACGACGACGACGCAGCCGACGGCGATGAAGAGGTAAGCTGCTACATACGTTGGGTTACTGCTGACTGTCTGGTCCATGTACTGGCTAAAGTTAGGATCGACGCGAACCCATATGCCGATAGCCAGAATAGCCATACCAAGCAACTGCAATGATAAAAAAGGATAAAATTAGTGATCAATCGTACAGGATTTTACGATCGCAAAATACTTCATTCTAAAAAATCACCGATGTTGGAACATTGACACCCTGCATTTAGCTTATTTTGTTCCCAAAACAGAAATGGCAATGGTTTATATTCCAGCCATATGACAGCGATCTGAAAAAAAATCGAGTCTGGACCTGACATTCCTGTGGTCGAAATCATGAGTAGCGATCTACGCAATTTGGATACGATGATGCATCAACCAAGTCAGCAAGCCTGACCACCCAATCCCGTTAGTCGCCTCTTACGACAAGCATGGGTTGCTGAAGACTATTTCACACCCGGTTCTTCACGGGGTTTCTGTGAAGAGTTAATAATTAGAGAAATTGATATTATTATGGTGAAGTCACTTCAGAAGCGAAGCTTTGGGAACGAATGGGTTCAGGTTGTTTAACATAAAAAATATTCGCGATATGATATTCTTGATTATCGACGATCAGTATCTTTACCGTCTAGCGAGGTAACGAGTCACTAAAGCGTTCGTAAAATATGTCTTTCCGTGCACATATATTCTAAAATGTTGTCTTGATGAGGGCTAGCGATGAATAGGAGAGATGGTTTGGGTGGGGTGGGGTGGGGTGGGGTGGGGTTAGGGTGCGCGGCTACGAGTGAATGCGAGAATGGGGAAGAGACAGACAGACAGACCGACTGACAGATATACAACAGGCAGCAAGAGCGTGCAATTACAAGATATAGGTAGATATAGATGTGAGGTGAGGTTAGGTGAAATGGGGTTTAACGTCGCGTCCAAGATTATTGCACTTATATAGCGACGTGCATGCACGTGTGTGTGTTTGTGTGGCTGCTTGTACTAGTCCGGACTGATGCCGATTTATAGTGCTAGCTCACTGAGATACCATGAATACCCCACTCAGACACAGTATACTGACTCCGAGCCGACCAGTCCTTGTTTTAGCCCCTTAATGCCGAGCGCCAGACAGGGTAACAACAAGTACCATCTTTTAACGTCTTTTGGTATGACGCGGTCGGGGATCAAAACCCGGACCTTCCGCAGATATAGATGTAGGTTCATACTACCATAAAAAAGGGAGAAAGAAAAGTGAGTGAGTGAGTGAGTGAGTATGGTTTTACACCGCAATTAACAATATTCCAGGAATATCACGACGGGGGACACAGAAATGGGCTTCACACATTGAAGCAAAGTAGTAATAACAGCAGATTATCTATTGTGGACGGAAAACACATCAAAGATACCGGAATCACTGGGTGTCATTTACGTTGTATTATATCCTCCCAGTACAGAAACATGCTTAATGTCCGTAAAATATTAAATCAATGCGCAAGTCGCCCATCCCTGCTATACACATGACGTGTGTTTGCTTCAGTAGTTCTTCTGGGCAAGGACTGGTCAGCTGTCAGAAGCCAAACATTTCCTTCAACCCCCGCACCACCAGTGCCATGCACATTGACAAAGCCTTGCGCCAAAGTGTACTGAAACAGTGAGTGAGTGAGAATGGTTTTACGCCGCTTTTAGCAATATTCCAGCAATATCACGCAGGGGACACCAGAAATGGGCTTCACACATTGTACCCATGTCAGGAATCGAACCCGGGTCTTTGGCGTGACGAGCGAACGCTTTAACCACTAGGCTATCCCAAACCCCGAGAGAGAGTGAAGAGATGAGGGACAGATAGAGAGAAAGTGACAAACGAAGTAGACCGAAACATACATCTTTACATCACGTGACATAATATCTTTACGCATAAAACACATACGTGAGATAACAGCGCGAATTAAGTGTATGAAACAGCCGCGCGGTCAGAGCTTGAAACATAATGGTGTACTTTAAAACATCGCAGAGATCCTTCAGGAAATATAATCTGACACTTAATTTTCTTAATCGCATCACTTATTGCTGGGAATGATAACACTATCTGTCAATGACTGACTCGAGGAGTCCTCACAGAGCTTTATTTCAAGCAACTGATGGAACTTATGTTTCTCGTATCACTGACTGCACTCATTACCCGAGCTGTCGCGCCTGTTCCAACCGTTAGCATTCCATTTACAGCAATTACCACAACAACAAATACGTAAAATGACAGGGCTCGTCCCTCGAGGAGACAAATATTTCCGTGCCGGAACCAATCGGCATGAACGTAATTAGTTTAATTATACACAGGTCTTGTCGTTAGGTTATCGTAAAAGCGAAACATGATACAAAACCTAAATACGTGTATACCCAGGGGACGCGGGTGATACCGTGTTAAAGGCACCGTGATGACACTGTGACTTGCTGCGTCTCTTTCCGATCCGAAATTCTCAAATATTATGATACTTAGTTTGTCAAAACTCGCACATGATCGTGGATTACACCTTAATGGTAGTTAAGGCCTAGTATATAATCAGGCGGTCTTCAAACATTAAACTGACACCACGACATACCAGTTATTGAAAGACAGTTCAGAGCGCGGGAACATCCGGGGTATAATAGGTCTTCAGCAACCCATGTTTGTCGTAAGAGGCAACTAACAGGTTCGGGTGGTCAGGCTCGCTGACTTGGTTGATGCATGTCATCGTATTCAAATTGCGTGATGTCAATCACAAGATTGTCAGGTCCGGACTCGATTATTTACAGACAGCCGTCATATAGCTGGAATATTGCTCAGTGTGGCGTTAACAAACAAACAACAAACACACAAACAAAGCGCGTTAAACCCAAGTCACACACTCACTCACTCACAGCGTTACTTCAACCATCTTTCATGAAACGCACGTGCAGAACGCTTTTATATGACGAGTTCTATCGGGGTGTGTATAAGTAAACCTTGTGACAAAATACAGATATCTCATTGGCTAAAGTCTTTTATCTGTGTCTCACTGTGTCAAAAGAAAACCATGACCCTTAAGACCCAAACAGTTGGAAGCCATAATCCGCAACCGCTGAAACATCGTCACATCATACGCTGTTGCCAAATGAGATCTTAATCGCCTCTTGTCAACTCGTGCTTCTTGTAAACGTGAATGCATCAGAGCCGGTATCATCAGCTACTATTACCACGTAGAGTACACACGGCTAAAAAAGGACATATTTTTTGGAGGACGACAATGTGTGAACGTGATGAGAGCACAAGCCACGACATCAACGAAAACACTCGTCAGCAAATAGTGTGTTTTATCACAAATTTGGATCACTTTTAAGAGGTCTTGTAAACGTCCCAGTGCAGGCCAGTACTATATTCGATACGTATGTCAAGGCAGTTGGGTTCATAGACAAAGGAACATACGTGATTGGATCATGTTTTGGTGGACAATTGCGATTTATTATCTAAGCCGAACAATTGTGTCTGGTAATCCGGGGTTTAAAGTTTTTGCTTTGATACGTCATCTCTTGTTGTCTAGTTGGAGACATTAATATTTATGACCTAGACTGACGATTAATCTCTGAACATATATAATATGGATAGGTGAGGTGAGGTGAAATGGGGTTTAACGTCGCGTCCAAGGTTATTGCACTTATATAGCGACGTGCAGGTACGTGTGTGTGTTTGTGTGGCTGCCTGTACTAGTCCGGACTGATGCCGATTTATAGTGCTAGCTCACTGAGATACCATGCCGCAGTTTAACATGAATACCCCACAGTATACTGACTCCGAGCCGACCAGTCCTTGTTTTAGCCCCTTAATGGCGAGCGCCAGACAGGGTTACAACAAGTACCATCTTTTAACGTATTTTGGTATGACGCGGTCGGGGATCGAACCCCGGACCTTCCATTCTCCGGGCGGACGCTCTACCACTAGACCACGGAGGCGGTCTAATATGGATAGAAACAAGCAGCTGCATTTAAAGTGAAATGAGCCCCAGAGAGATGGGAGATTCAGAACCTGAACCTGTGGAAAATCTAGACTTGCTTAGTGTTGGACTTTGGAAACATTATCAGGATGAACCGGGATTCAAACAATCATCATAGTTTTCTAAGACTAAGGGACGCAACTCCACGCCTAATACGACTCGGCCACCCGTGCCCACTATTGCATGTAGTTATAGAGGTTATATTGTTTTATGCCGATGTCAGCTATACCAGTTATTGAGCCTCTATTTGACCATGATATTGAAGCCATTTTGACCACCCCAATCCATCACAGCCAATTCTTCTGACAGGCAAGGCAATCAGAATCGGAAAAAGGAGTCAAAAGTGGGAACAAACCTCATCGACCGGTATGACGTCACACATGAAGCCAGATCACAACAACTCCGGTATTGGGACACATTATATTTTAGTCAGAGATTCATTACAAACAATGTTTTCTCTACAAATAGGTTGATAAGTGTTTCAAAACATCCAGAATGTACAACTAATTATGTCAAGGAGGACGAAAGATTTTTCTCCGTTTTCGGGAACAGAACCCACCTCGTCCCCAACCGATCGCCGAAGTACAGCGACGTCAACCTCAGCATCTGTCGCCTCCTTAACGGCCGACCTATTTCTTGTGTGTGGACAGAAAAGAAGGCCTCATAGCAAGGTACCAGAGCCTTGACTTAACAAGGGGTCTATTAATAGCAGCCTCCATTTCTCCGGGGTTATTAAGGTGACTGATTGTCATTCAGTAATGCCGATTGCTGGGCAGCGTATACCTCACTTGGACGGATTCGGCAACCTCTGACGTATGAGGGAGGATCATATTGTACGGCTATATTTGGCGAACGTTGTTCAAACAACAGTTGTTGTTATCGCTATTGGCAACGATCTGACATTCACAAGACTGAGATGGTTTGAAAACAGCGTTCTGTTGTTATGCATCTTGATGTGAAATACGATCTGTTTATTGAATATGATTTAGTGGATTTTACTGTAATAATGTTAGACAGTCACAATATTAGATGGCAATCGACAAATGTTGATCTGTTTTCACGTGTGTGTGTGTGTGTGTGTGTGTGTGTGTGTGTGTGTGTGTCTGTCTGTCTGCTTGTACTAGTCCG